GCTACACCAGGTAAACATAACCCTGAAACACTGCTACACAAGGTAATCATAACCCCAATACATACCGCTACACAAGGTAAACATTACCCCGGTACATACTGCTACACCAGGTAAACATTACCCCAGTACTTACTGCTACACAAGGTAAACATAGCCCAAATACTTACTGCTTCACCAGGTAAACATAACCCTGAAACACACTGCTACACCAGGTAAACATAACCCCAATAGTTACCGCTACACCAGGTAAACATAACCTTGGTACACACTTCTACACTAGGTAAACATAACCCTGGTACACACCGCTACATCAGGTAAACATAACCCTGGTACACACCGCTACACCAGGTAAACATAACCCCGAAACACACTGCTACACAAGGTAAACATAACCCAAATACATACCGCTACACAAGGTAAATATCACCTCTGTGAAAATAGTGGTTTGTAAAATATCAAGATACCTATAAAATACAAGTGCATGTGCGTGCACGTGATTAAGGCATACCATGCGATAGCCTATGGTTACATATGTACCTGACATGTTAATATACTGTGAGTGCATATGCGGGCAATGGAATGATGTTCAAAGTGTACATGATTGAGAGTAATTTTGTTCCATAAAAAAACAGTAAATTGACAATTTAATATAGTAATTTAATTGAATTCCGTTGTTTTTGGTATAGTAAAGAAAATAACTGTCACTGTATAAATTCTATCCCTCTGCAAAAAGTGCCGAATTTTTAAAGGTAGACAACTCTCATCAGGATCAAAATTATTGAAAAATGTAAAATAAATTAATTATAAAAACTGTGTATTTGGTTAAATTTTTCACTCTTTTTGTATGAAACTATGTGTCGTGTTTGCTTTTAGCTTATATATAATAACTTTTATCCATACAATTTCAATAAAAACATTTTGTGTAACATGTTGTAGATATTTTATGATAAATGAAATATTTGTAGGGTTGATTAGCAATGTTTCTTTTCATTATTTTATTGTTGTAATAGTTTTGAACAATGCTACACACTCAAAAAATGTGAAAGTGTTTTTCGGTATTTTTTACAAAAAAAATCCCCAGTTTATTGGAATGCTTAGATATAAATAAAATCATCTCTGTATAGCGACATAACCATTATGTAAAACTTTCATTGAATTCTGCTGGTTAATTGCGAAAGGGTGGAGCCTTCTTAAATCCGATTAATTAAAAGTTTCACCTTTCTTACCTTTATTACCACCTGTACAGGTAAATACTGAAACAACTTTAGAATTGAAAATGTTAATATAAACTAGAGACAACAACGAACAATTTTCACATACAACAAATATGTTTCAAGTTATGCACATTTGAAATATCAATTAAATTAATTCAAATTTCAATAATTAATTCAGCAGTGGTGTCCCTTTACATAGAAATGTAGCAGCCTAAGGGTTAACACATAAAATATACAGATGCTCATTATTACAGAATTTCAGGAATGGTAATTAATAAATGAGAAGAAATTAGAGATTGAAACGATTAGTTTACTTTTTACCTCAATGGAGCAAATGAGCTTATGCCATTGTGCGACGTTCGTCTGGCGTCAACTTTTTACTTTTAAACAACTTCTTCTGAATAACCAAAAACTTTCAAACAACTTCTTCTGAATAACCAATAGGCCAGCAGCAGGGTGATGATATTTGGCTGGTAACATGTATGTGTGAAGGGCTATCTTTTTTTTTCTTTTTTTTTTTCAAGTGAATGACCTTCACTTATATTCAATTCAAGGTCACAGGGATCAAATATGTTTAAAATCTTTATACGATTACTGAATAACCAAATGGCCCAGGATGATAAAATTTGGCCTGTAACATGCTGGGATAAAGAGCCACTTTGCGTGTTTACTTTAACAGATTGACCTTGAGCTATATTCAAGGTCATAGGGGTAATTCATCTTTAAAACTTTCAGGGTCAATTTTCTTAAAAACTTCTGCTGAAGAATAACCAAAAGGACCAGGGTGATGATATTTGGCCAGTAACATGCTGGCATGAACATATCTAGAAGGGCTATCAACTTTGTTCAAATGAAAGATCATGATCTGGACTTTTATGCAAGGTCGCAACGTTTACATATGATTTAAACTTTTAATGACATCTTCTGAATAATTTAGGCCCGGAATATTGATATCTGGACAATAGCATGCTTAGATATTCCGTCTTTTCGTATTGTAGAGTTATCTGCTCTTGTGAGCAGGTATTGGTTGTTACATCATTTGTTTGTGAGAGTAACGTCATCAATTTTTGAGAAAACAACGTAATTTTCTCACACTAACCAATGACGTAACAATCAATACCTGCTCGCAAGAGAAGATAACTCTGCAATACGCAAAGACGGAATAGACCAATTTTATTCAAATAAATGACCTTCACTGATAAGGTCACTGGGGTGAAATATGTTTTATAACTTTTAAATGACTTTCACTGAATAACCACAAGGACCAGAATGATATTTGGTCAGTAAGATGCTGGGATGAAAGGCTACCAAGTTTGTTAAAATTAATGACCTTGATGTATATTCAAGGTCACAGGGGTCAAACATGTTTAAAACCTATGAAAGACTTCTTTTGAATAACCAAAAGGCCAAGAATGATCATATTTGGCCAGTAAGATGCTTGGATAAAAGGCTACAAAGTTGGTTTAAATGAATGACCTTGACCTATTTTAAGGGTAACGAGTCAGATATATATTTAAAACCTGTAAACTGCCTCTACTGAATAACAAAAAGGCCCAGGGTAGTGATGAGCAATCGGCATAAAACCATAATCGATAATTGATTTGTAATCGTATTGCTGTACACTGTGTTTTGTTCTTTTATAATGAGTGGATTTCAAGCATTTTTTGTGCAGTTTTATCAATCATATAGAAAAAACTCATAAGAATATATGACTTTCAATACATTTTTCACACTGAAAACATTTAACACTTTGATTTTGATAAAGAACTGATTATATCGATAATGGAATTTGGAATCGGAAAGGGCAAAACAAACGAGTTTCGATTATATTCGATCATCAGCCCATCACTAGCCCAGGGTAATAATATTTGGCCAGTAATATTACATGCTTGAATAAACGGCAACTTACAAATGTAGTTTGTTCAAATAAATGATCTTGACTAATATTCAATCACAGGTGTTAAATATGTTTTAAACCTACAATCAACATCTTCTGAATAACGATAAGACCCAGAATGTTGATATTTGGCCAATGGCGTGCTTGGATGAAGGGTACCAATTTTATTCAAATGAATGACCTTGACTTATATTCAAGGTCACAGGGGTCAAATATGAATTAAACCTTTTAAACGACATCTTCTGAATAATGCTTAGGCCCAGAATGTTGATATTTGGCCAGTAGTATGCTAGGATGATCTTGGCTTCCTAGTTTGTTCAAATGAATGACCTTCAATTCACAGGGGTCAATTGTCTTCAAAAATCTTGATACAACTTCTTCTGAATAACCAAAAGGACCAGTATGGTGATATTTTGGCAGGAGCATGCTGGGATGAAGGGCTACCAAGTTTGTTGAAATAAATTACATTTATACCTTTACTCATATTCAAGGTCACAGGGGTCAAATATGTTCAAAACTTTATGCTACTTCTTTTAAATAACCCAAACGCCCAGGGTGATGATGTTTGGCCAGTAGCATGCTGCGATGACGTGCTACCAATTGCAATGACCAGTATTATGTTGGGGTGAAGGGCTCCCAAGTTTGTTTAAATGAACGACCTTCACTTATATTCAAGGTCACAGGGGGCAATTGTTTAAAAAAAAAACAACCTTTAAACAACTTCTACTGAATAACCAAAAGGCCCAGGATGATGATATTTGGCCAGTAGCATGCTAGAATAAAAGGCTACCAGGTTTGTTCAAATGAATGACCTTGAATTATTTTCAAGGTCACAAGGATCAAATATGTTGAAAATCTTACAACAACTTCTTCTGAATAACCAAAAGTCGCAGGTTGATGATATTTGGACTGTAACATGATGGGATGAAGGGATACCAAGTTTGTTCAAATGAATGACATTTAAACAACGTCTTCTGCATAACCATAAGGCCTGGAATGTTGATATCTGGTCAGTAGCATGCTTTGATTAAGGGCTACCAAGTTTGTTTAAGTGAATGACCTTGATTATATTCCAGGTCACAGGAGTCAAATTTGCTTAAAATCTTTAAAGGATTTCTTCTGAATAACCATGAGGCCGAGAATGTTGATATCTAGCCAGTGGCATGCTTATATAAAGGCTATCAAGCTTTTTCATTTGAATGACCTTGACCTACTTTCGAGGTAACATTTACTCAAATATGTTTTAACATTTAAATTACCTTATTTCAGCTGGAGTATATGCCAACCACAGGGACACGGTTAGATTTATCTGATGCCTTCTGGTTATGTATGGTTAACAAAGAGGCCTATGATATAAATTGATAAATCGAACTGTGCCCCGGTGTGCCAACAGGGAAAACGTATTGATTCAACGTCAGATAACCAATGTTTTTATTACATTTCCACAATTCTATTTATAAGTATTGACTTTATCCACGTAATGTTCCAAGAATTGTAATGATGCATAACATTTGACTTGAAATAATAAGCCGGCCTTTCGTTGGCACTCTAAATGTTGCGCAACGTTATTCCGGTTACGTCACCCGAGTGGGACATTTTACGGAAACTGAAAAGTGTAGTGCGATTTTTTCATTATTTATCCAATAACAAAAGTGAAAAGTGTTTTATTCTATTCAGTCTAGACACCTTCTTATTGGGACAAAATTAATTTATTTCGTATTACGTTACTTACTATTATACTTCATTAAAGTTTCAATTTATGCAAAATGTGCGTCAAAAACGACTGTTGGACAAATTTTGGGAATATTTAATTTTGCCCGTTTTACAAGAAAACGTTCTTTCAGATAGATAACTTTCTGTATATGATAATTTCGACAAAGACACATCACAAATATAACTTTATTTATCTCAAATATTTGACAATATCCTCCTGTCCTGCTGAGTAAGCGTCTGAATGCCTTCGAAATGTCTTACCTTGTAGATGGTACGCGCTACACGAGTTATTGTGACGTTTTCGAGGTTATTATGGTGAAACAGAATTCTTCATGTTGTGTTATACTATCGATAATTGCCATTAGATGAATGATATTGAACAAACGTGATGTATAATATGAGATCCGGTTCTGAAAACTGATATATAAAGCTATACTTTTAGCAGGCACCATGGGTGTTTTGAAGCGGTGTCACAAACATCGCGCGTAATGTAATTACTGAAGACTGATGATCCTCTATTTCTTACCCGCTGACAAGGAAATCTCAACCCTCGTACTAAAAAGCTTTTACCATCGAGTTGAGATTTCTGTCTATATTACACAGGCGTGATGGATTCCATTATGTGTCTATGTCGTCCCAGATATATCAGGTGGGTCCCTATCCATAAAACCGATCTCATGCTCAAGCATGGACTCTGTGCTCAAAACAACTTTATTGTAGCTCGCTGTAATCATATGCAAAAACATTTTTGTAAAAACTGAAAATGGTATTTGGCCCCACGTCTATCAAAACCTCAACAAATTAATTGACAAAATGTAAACTGAAACAAGAAATTGGACTTAAGCACAGAATCTAAGGTTGTGCACGAGAATGGTTACAGGTGAAGACAGAGGATGGCATTGCTGTTTAGTGTGACGGTCTAGACTAGAACTGTCAGCATCAGGACAAGACAGAGGATAGCATTGTTGTTTGGTGTGACGGTCTAGACTAGAACTGTCAGCATCAGGACAAGGCAGAGGATGGCATTGTTGTTTAGTGTGACGGTCCAGACTAGAACTGTCAGCATCAGGACAAGGCATAGGATGGCATTGTTGTTTAGTGTGACGGTTTAGACTAGTACTGTCAGCATCAGGACAAGGCAGAGGATGGCATTGTTGTTTAGTGTGACGGTCTAGACTAGAACTGTCAGCATCAGGACAAGGCATAGGATGGCATTGTTGTTTAGTGTGACGGTCTAGACTAGAAAGTTGAAATGTTCTTGAACTGGGAGGATAAAAAACGGAAGGGACACAAGTTTCCTGCTTTGTAGTTTCCACCAGGCTAGTTTACGCTCCTATAAATCATGAAAGTTGAAAAAATATCATCCACAGTATTTGGTGCAGCGGTAGAGAGTTTAACGATGTCAACTAACAGTGGTACTTCTGAAATACATGCTTACGAGATATGTGGTCTTCCGGGGCAATAGTTATCGAATAATCAGAGGGAAGGGATGTTCACTGTCGCGAAATAAATACTTTCATTCCATTCAAAGTCATCATAGCGAATTCCCTTGTTTTTTTACTTGATGAAACAAAGAAGTCTTTATGAAACTGTTGTGGTTTCGCCACTAACGCTAGTATTTCTCTGCGTCAGTGTAAGCAGGAGGCGGGGACATGGAGGCCTCCACCGTTATGGCCAGATTGTCGTATCCCGTCACGCCATAAGGTGGGCCAGATTCCGTCTGATTTGGAGGGATGTGGAACGGTTGGTCGCCGTCCTCGCCGTACATCGGACCCACTGTAACAGCAGGTAGATCAATCAATATACACTAGTTTCCATAATCAAGTTCTAAAATTATTTTTTAATATCTAGATTTTTCGAGAATGTTCTTTCAAAGCATTTGATTTCAAACGGTACGTTTAATATGTTCGGCTGCTTGTGTTGTTTGGAGTACACATAAGATCTGTTTATAATTCATATTTCAATATGCTGACACACAAACACTTGGATTAAGCAAGAGAGTTTATGACAATTACTAAGACGGAACTTTTTTTTATTTATTTATTTTATTAAATCGATCGACATCATAACAAAAATATGATAATTTTGTTTTCATATTTGCCTGTAAGTCAAGTCCGACTGGAAAAGCCATACTTGAAAATGGCCATTGTGCGCAAGTACAATCAATACATCGGAAAAAACATTTATCAACCAATCAGAAATTAGCCTTATACCTGATCTCGTTATGAACCAATCAGAAATTAGCCTCACACATAATTTCGCTATTAACAAATCAGAAATCAGCCTTACACATGATTTCGTTACTAACCAATCAGAAATCAGTCTTACACATGATTTCGTTATTAACCAATCAGAATTTAGCCTTACACGCGATTTCGTTATGAACCAATCAAAAATTAGCCTCACACATGATTTCGCTATTAACAAATCAGAAATCAGCCTTACACATGATTTCGTTACTAACCAATCAGAAATCAGTCTTACACATGATTTCGTTATTAACCAATCAGAATTTAGCCTTACACGCGATTTCGTTATGAACCAATCAAAAATTAGCCTTACACATGCTTTCACTATTGACCAATCAGAAATCAAACTTACAGTCTATCTCACTGTTGCACTGCGAATGGGAATCTTCAATGTCATTGTCTTGGAAACTAAGTGGTTTGGAATTTTTGTAAATACAAACGACAATGATGGCGAGACAAAGGAAAAACAGGAAAATACCGACGACGATACCAACGATCATCCCCCTGTAAAACAAAGTCATCAAAAGGTAAAAAGACCATCTTAATTAATATTATTATCAGACTTAAAACTTTCTAGTAACATCTGATCGGCTGATACCTGGGCCTCATTCATGACTGCTCGTGCTTAACCATGGATATGTTCTGATACTGATTTTCTTGTAACTCGCTTTAATCAAGTGATAATCGGCTTTCGGTATATCGACATTATTTCAATTATTATCTTTTTTTCAAATTATTGACAAAATGTGAACCTTTGTATTAATTCATCGCCGGATCAATACGGGGGTATTTAACCCCCTCCTTTGCTGAAATAATATCTTTTCCATGCGACAACGCCTTATCTAGGACATTTGAATACAAAGTCCAATGCAATTGCAGTTTATACACCTGTGAACTTTATTAAGTATATATCTACATGTACATATAGCAGGAGAAATACTGGAATTTCAGAGTAGTGGGCCATTTTTTAAGCAATTTTTAGTCAATATCAAAATTAAGAGGGGCCATTCTATGTAAAATAAAAATAAAATTGGAACATGCATGGATGGGTCAATTTCAGTTATGAGGGGTCAATGGCCCCATGACCCCGTCCAGGAGTCTCCCTGTATAGCAGCACCTGTACGGAAGAAATAGCTTTGTGTGTATACATGAGATGTTAAGTTGACCATACTTACGTATTGCTCTTATTTTGGCAACATGTTCGGGTTACTGTAGAACCACAACAGCCGTCATCACAGTAGCCGTAGTAGGAGAAATATTCCAGGCCATAGCTGAAGGAGTAGGTCAGGTACTGGTAACAAAAGTCACCAGCTTCACAACCTGAAATACGCAGTTGTTATGTAAAAATGGATAAACCGAACAAAAAAATATATCTGTCAGCGTGTTAAACAATCTATAACGGAACAACGGAAAACATTATATGTGCTCCCAATCAACACTGTAATCTCTTTACATTTTACTTGGTAGAATAGATATAAGCAACGTATGTGCGTGTATTATGGTGGAATATTTAACAAGGGTGAGGAATTTTGGAAAAAAATAAATAACGGCCCTAGTTGATACTTTTTCCACAATTTTTGAATCCGGAGTTATTTTTTCGTCAAAAAATATGGTATATCTGTCATATTAAGTTAAATGTAATGAGAGTCTTTTTGCTGTCTTCTTCAGTAACCATACGTCTATGATTAGCAAGATGACCTTGATAATGTATTATTATTTGAATTAATGTTTTTCTTTTGCGCGCGATGTGACATTTGTCACGTGATGCTTGTATGTCTTCATTTCACAAAAAAATCCCAGTTTTATCATATCTGACACTGTGTAGTTCTCCTATTTTGTCTTTTTAACCTATATATATATTTGGGAAGGATTTTTTTTTCATTTTCAGTCTCCATTTGGTCGGCAGATAATACACAAGCTATAATGACGTCATGCTTTAAAGAGATACCAGATGATTATATTTCCATCGATCAAATCCACCATTCTATCGACATCGCTCGGCAGCATATGGAATCAGCATTTACACTGTTTCACATTACCTTCGCAGAACCACGAATTTGACAGGTTTTAAGATCTAGAGGTGAACAAGAAACTTCCTCTGTTTGTCCTCTATCAAATCTATAAAAAGGTTAAAATCAAATGCGTGTACCCTCATTCGACAAAGGAAATCAGCCCCACGCCTCGCTTGTTTACATTTGCTGGGGAGGTTTTTGGAAGAGCGTTGGTCTGTTGGAAAATAATACATGCACGCGCATAGTCTATCGTCCAATAACACATGGTTATATTTGTTTTAAAGTCACCAATGAAAACGTATCGTTACATCGCAAACGTGATAAAATAATCAACATACATTACTAATATTTCCCTCTTAAAATAGTGATCTACAGGACTAGTCAACTCTAAGGAATACCAAGTGGTGAGGGAAATGCCGGTCAGAAAAGTAAAAGAAACTTTCAAGAATTGTGTTGCAATTCAAAGTTTGATACATTCCAGTAGTTATTTTTTTTTAACTGAACAACATATATAAATGAATATTTTTATAGAGTATAAAATTATATGCTACCCATACACGAGGCGTTTTCAATACCAAGTTTTATATAAAAAAGAAAAATTCGTGATTTAATTTATCAGGAGAGGTACTGATGTTGAAATAACTTTTTAAATATTGTATTACGAAATTTTAATTTAGATTTCTGTGCAATAAATAAAGTGTACGAGCTGCAAAAAAAACATGAGGTACATCGAATGGACCAGGTCGGAAAGGGTGTTTATATATATATACACATGTACTGTAACTTAAACCAAGCAAAATGTGTTGGAGTTTACAAGTCTAAAAGCAATTAAATACTTAAATAATTAGTATTACGATTAATAAGTATAAACTATGACGGTTAATTACCAAAATCACATCGTAAAATAAATGTAGGACTCACCTAAAATATGACCCAGTAATATGAAGAGAATGTACACAATCGCCGACATGTCGGTTTGTTTATTAGGCCAAACTAGTGGTATAGAAGTAGCAGTATATTAAGAGGTCACGCCGAAATCCATTGTATGATCGAGGGATCAAGGAATTAGTGAAGTATTGGTCGATGTTCTTAATGTTTAAGCCTTTTGTAGAGAGATCACACTGTGTATTTTTATACTAACCGGCAGTGTCAATGTTATATATGGAAAGTTACTAACTAAACTAGGTGGACTTAAAATATATACATTATGGGGCTATATTTCCTTTCAGGTAGAGAATTCCAATTGTCCTTTACGTAAAAATATTAACAACACTGCAAAATTAAACAGATATTATACAAATATCGTCTTGCCCTCGTGAAACATGATTAACTTCAGAGAAACAACGAATCGGGTTTTCCTAGAGTAAGTGCAGTATTTTATGATGTCGACAAAAAATCAAATAACAAAGAAACAGCAACACAAAAGTAGAGATGATCTAGTTGACACGCAATTCTTGTCGTCTGCTTCCGTCATTCGGAACTAGATTGTGGTGAACGTTCTTGTCGATTTTTATAGAGAGACTCCGAATAAGGGAAATATGATCGGGAAACTTGAGATCGACATGATGTTTTATTGCCGCGTCATGTGATCAGTATTATCCAATCAGTCACGCTGTTATAAAAAATAGGTATAATACATAAGGAAATAATTAATAATATAACTGCTGTTTCATTGTTTTATTATTTGATTAAACTTCAGAACGTCAAAATAAAATCTCCACGTGCTCCTCTTCAGTAGGTTTATATATTGACAATCATTTTGTGTTTGACAATAAAAATAATCACCTCACTCCTTTACTCATGACAATCGTGACGACTTCACGTTCATAATCTTGAACTTTCTTTTTCTCGGTTGTAACCAACAAACCTCCCCTGCTCACGGAGTTCCAATTCTGGAGCACGTGGAATTCCCCCAACTATTTGGTGAATTGATGACCACATACAATTGGTCCCTGTTGTTTTTCTGTCCCGACTTTTTGTCAGCAAATAAATTTCGCCTCCCTTAAAATCTGTTCAACTAAGTTTTCCAACCTAATATCAGAAAACGTAAACGTTTTTGAGCGCGGTACTCATTGTGGAGAATGTTGGAACGGAACTGTATTACATGCGATGATGATTTAATGATAAAAAGGCGCATATCAGTTCTTACACTCACGTTAAAAACTAAATATAAGTATATTTTGTCTTTCTGGTAGATTCCTTTGATTCAGGGTGCATTTTTAGCAAATGGTGGAACAGCCATTTTCGCAGGTACAAGGTCATATTTTAATAATTGCAACTTCCGTCTGGTGATAGAAAGCAACCGGAAACAATTCGGGATTTCCGTCCTATTTTTTAATCACAATTGGTCACGATTAATATTATAAACAACAGCTATAATTCTAGATCCGTCATTGGTCTGTAATAACTTTTTTGGTTGGCAGGTTTTATATCAATCGGGAACGTTAACCGTCGGCACTTCTACATATTTCATCAATATTGAATGATAGCCAAGTAATGCAACAAAGTTTGTTTAAAATATATTCGATAATTTCTGTTTAAAGAGAACGTCATATCTTCATGTGGCCGCCTATAGCACAGCTTCTTGTGCGCCAGACTATTGACAGTAACATCGCACATGGTTGGGATCAGACGGAAAGGATGCAGTTCTACCATTGAACAATGATTACCTCTGCCCAGACGGAAATGATGCAGTTCTACCATTGAACAATGATTACCTCTGCCCAGACGGAAATGATGCAGTTCTACCATTGAACAATGATTACCTCTGCCCAGACGGAAATGATGCAGTTCTACCATTGAACAATGATTACCTCTGCCCAGACGGAAAGGATGCAGTTCTACCATTGAACAATGATTACCTCTGCCCAGACGGAAAGGATGCAGTTCTACCATTGAACAATGATTACCTCTGCCCAGACGGAAAGGATGCAGTTCTACCATTGAACAATGATTACCTCTGCCCAGACGGAAAGGATGCAGTTCTACCATTGAACAATGATTACCTCTGCCCAGACGGAAAGGATGCAGTTCTACCATTGAACAATGATTACCTCTGCCCAGACGGAAAGGATGCAGTTCTACCATTGAACAATGATTACCTCTGCCCAGACGGAAAGGATGCAGTTCTACCATTGAACAATGATTACCTCTGCCCAGACGGAAAGGATGCAGTTCTACCATTGAACAATGATTACCTCTGCCCAGACGGAAAGGATGCAGTTCTACCATTGAACAATGATTACCTCTGCCCAGACGGAAAGGATGCAGTTCTACCATTGAACAATGATTACCTCTGCCCAGACGGAAAGGATGCAGTTCTACCATTGAACAATGATTACCTCTGCCCAGACGGAAAGGATGCAGTTCTACCATTGAACAATGATTACCTCTGCCCAGACGGAAATGATGCAGTTCTACCATTGAACAATGATTACCTCTGCCCAGACGGAAATGATGCAGTTCTACCATCGAACAATGATTACCTCTGCTCAGACGGAAAGGATGCAGTTCTACCATTGAACAATGATTACCTCTGCCCAGGCGGAAATGATGCAGTTCTACCATCGAACAATGATTACCTCTGCCCAGACGGAAAAGCTGCAGTTCTACCATTGAACAATGATTACCTCTCCCCAGACGTAAAGGATGCAGTTCTACCATTGAACAATGATTTCCTCTGCCCAGACGGAAAGGATGCAGTTCTACCATTAAACAATGATTACCTCTGCCCAGACGGAAAGGATGCGGTTCTACCATTGAACAATGATTACCTCTGCCCAAACGGAAAGGATGCCGTGCTATCATTGAACAATGATTACCTCTGCCCAAACGGAAATGATGCAGTTCTACCATTGAACAATGATTACCTCTGCCTATACGGAAAGGATGCAGTTCTACCATTGAACAATGATTACCTCTGCCCATACGGAAAGGATGCAGTTCTAACATTGAACAGCGATTACCTCTGCCCAGACGGAAAGGATGCGGTTCTACCATTGAACAATGATTACCTCTGCTCAGCTGCAAAGGATGCTGTTCTACCATTGAACAATGATTACCTCTGCCTATACGGAAAGGATGCAGTTCTACCATTGACCAATGATTACCTCTGCCCATACGAAAGGATGCAGTTCTAACATTGAACAATGATTACCTCTGCCCAGACGAAAAGGATGCAGTTCTACAATTGAACAATGATTACCTCTGCCCAGACGGACAGGATGAAGTTCTACCATTGAACGATGATTACCTCTGACCAGACGGAAAGCTCTGCCCAGAAGGAAAGGATGCAGTTCTACCATTGAACAATGATTTCCTCTGCCCATACGGAAAGGATGCAGTTCTAACATTGAACAATGATTACCTCTGCCCAGACGAAAAGGATGCAGTTCTACAATTGAACAATGATTACCTCTGCCCAGACGTAAAGGATGCAGATCTACCATTGAACAATGATTACCTCTACCCATACGGAAAGGATGCAGTTCTGCCATTGAACAATGATTACCTCTGCCCAGACGTAAAGGATGCAGATCTACCATTGAACAATGATTACCTCTACCCATACGGAAAGGATGCAGTTCTGCCATTGAACAATGATTACCTCTGCCCAGAAGGAAAGGATGCAGTTCTACAATTGAACAATGATTACCTCTGCCCAGACGCAAAGGATGCAGTTCTACCATTGAACGATGATTAACTCTGACCAGACGGAAAGGATGCAGTTCTACGATTGAACAATGATTACCTCTGCCCAAACGGAAAGGATGCAGTTCTACCATTGAACGATGATTACCTCTGACCAGACGGAAAGCTCTGCCCAGAAGGAAAGGATGCAGTTCTACAATTGAACAATGATTACATCTGCCCAGACGGAAAGGATGCAGCTCTACCATTGAACAATGATTACCTCTGCCCAAGCGGAAAGGATGCCGTGCTATCATTGAAGAATGATTACCTCTGCCCAAACGGAAATGATTCAGTTCTACCATTGAACAATGATTACCTCTGCCCAGACGTAAAGGATGCAGATCTACCATTGAACAATGATTACCTCTACCCATACGGAAAGGATGCAGTTCTGCCATTGAACAATGATTACCTCTGCCCAGAAGAAAAGGATGCAGTTCTACCATTGAACAATGATTTCCTCTGCCCATACGGAAAGGATGCAGTTCTAACATTGAACAGCGATTACCTCTGCCCAGACGGAAAGGATGCAGTTCTAACATTGAACAGTGATGACCTCTGCCCAGACGGAAAGGATGCAGTTCTACCATTGAACGATGATTACCTCTGACCAGACGGAAAGGATGCAGTTCTAACATTGAACAGTGATTACCTCTGCCCAGACGGAAAGGATGCAGTTCTACCATTGAACAATGATTACCTCTGACCAGACGGAAAGGATGCAGTTCTACCATTGAACAATGATTACACCTCTGCCCAACTCCCCTGGCAATAAAAGAGTACAATATGGTCTGGATATATTATAACGATTACAGTTTCTGTCTTCACTGGGTGTTGAAGCATTCAAGTGGTTTGTCACTTTTGGTCAGCAGTTCGAAATACAGACCTGTAATGAGCAGAATATCTAAACAACCTCCAGCACATGCACACATACATGGAGGTAGAAATAAGATCCCATGATTAAATACATGTGTAACACTGCTCCCACATTCTCCTTATCGTATTGGATGGCATCTCTTGTTTGCTATGCCTGGACGAATTGAGACTAGATGAGGCAGACACACTACAAATGTTAAACAAGAGTCCCAGAGGGCCTGAATCCCTCACCTGGATATCTAAGCAATCATGGCAAAATATTCTCCAAATGAGATCCAAGGGAATATGCCAAACCCCAAGGCCAATCCTTGCAGCATATCTGTATTAGATTTTTCATGCCCAGCAATTTTACGTATGGGTAAGGGGTGGGGAACTCGACTGTTTCCAAGCTGTGACTCAGAAACTAGGTCCCTAGGGTTTTGGTCAGACCCCAGGGTCTATTCTAATATTATGACTGACTGCATTTGTCTCTTTCTGCCCAGCATTTGTATATATAGTTTTGGGGTGGGGATCTCAACCGTTTTAAAGTTATGACCCAGGGACTATGTCTCCAAGGGTGGGGCCAGACCCTAGTGCCATCCTGGAAGCAAATGTGCATTCTTCTCTTTATACTTAGCAATTTTATATATGGTTATATGGTGGGGATCTTAACCATTTCCAAGTAATACACTTTTTTTTTGGCCCCACCCCTTAGCCCAGGGGGTCGGCCCCACTATTTGTACAATTTTAAATCCCTGCCTCCCATGAATGCTTCCGACCAAATATGATCGATATCCATGGCATAGTTCTACAGAAGAAGTCGTTAATAGCAATATAGCCAAATTGCCCTGTTTTGGCCCCGCCATTAGCCCCCTGGTGGGTCAACCCCACCATTTGTACAATTTTGAATCTCCACCACCTAGGGATGCTTTCAGTCAAATATGGTTGATATCCATCTCTTAGTTCCAGAGAAGATGTCGCTTAAAGCAATATAGCCAATTAACCCTTCTTGGCCCGCCCCTCAGCCCCCTGGGGGGTTAGCCCCACCATTTGTACAATTTTGAATCCCTGCCTCCCATGAATGCTTTTGATTAAATATGATTGATATCCAGTGGATAGTTCTACAGAAGAAGTCGTTTGTAGCAATATAGCCAAATTGCCCCCTTTGGCCCCGCTCCTCAGCCCCCTGGGGGGTCAGCCCCACCATTTGTACAATTTTGAATCCCCACCACCTAGGGATGCTTCCATTCAAATTTAGTTAAATTCCAATCAGTGGTTAAGAAGAAGAAGTCGTTTAAAGAAATTGTTGACGGATGGACGACGGACGCCTCGGTATGGCTTAAGCTCACCTTGGTCCTTCGGACCAGGTGAGCAAATAATACCAAAATAATATCTTTTATAAAACTGAGTTTTTTTTATTGAAAATAGGAATGTACAGTTTATGTAAAGAGACATTTGCATGGTAATTAAATACAAATTGTAATAACACATGGATACAGGTACATGTATGCAAAGCCTGGTAAGCTTAATCATTCATTACCTGAAATTTGAAAAAAATAATACCTTTAGAAATTGTTTAATATTTTACAAATTTCCTTAGTGTGTTTCTGTTCTTCATATAATGTACTTGAAACTTTCGACATGAATTCATTCATTTAACTTTTATTACATATTTTCAAATATACTTGCCATTCTTTGAACAGCTGAGCCCTGCATAGTAGATTTCTACAGTTGATAACACTCGAACATGGGGGGTAGGTAGTCTTATAGAATTCTTACCTTTGAAATTTTGCCCCCTGCTACACAGTAGATGTGTTGGCCCTTATGTGTTGATGGGCCGTTAATCATTTAATACTGATAATAACTATCCAGTAGATCTTCTACCTAAGTGACAGCACAAGAATATTACTGTAAATCACAGTCATCAATGGTAGGAACTATGTTTTAAAACATAAGCAAAATACAAATTCATAACAACGGGAACATAATGTGCACATTGTTCAAGATCAATCTAAGGATGATGGATCATTATATTTAGAGCATCTAACTTCTTTTCTTATCTGTCTTATTTTGTTGTGACAATGTATCTGTCACTAAAATTGAAAAGAAAAGCATAGGTTGCTGTGCATTTTTTATGCCAATTCTCACAGCCGCAAACAAAATGATCCATCATCCTTAAAATATCAGAAAATATATTTCAAGACAAATCTATTTTATTTAGCTCCCCGATTGGTACATGTACACAAGAGTAAAAAGATTCCATTTGTATCTCCCCCTTTTCTTATAAATAGGGCACACAACAACATTTATCATGAAAAATATCTCCGAGAGTCTCTGCATCGTTAAAATTGAACAGAGTATCAGAGTAAATATGGGACATAACTTGTAAAACTCCTACACCTTTAAACAGCTCCATCACATTTATAGACCTGCCACTTAGAATTACATACATACAGCATGTGTTTAACATCAGTCATATCAACTTAACATTTTTTTCATTCTGAAGTACTTTTATACTTAGATAATTCAGTAAGATATCACTATAAGCGGTGTTGCAACCATCTGTTTCCCCTGGTTGTTAGGATATTTAGACTGCTCAGTATAACTTACCCATGTAACATATTGGGTTTTCAAATATTATAAGAAGGCTGCTAGAGTTTGTACATGTGTCTATGTCAGGATATTTCAGTGAGATAGCACTATAATTCTGCTAGAATTTGTGTCTATGTCAGGATATTTTAGTGAGATAGCACTATAATTCTGCTAGAATTTGTGTCTTTGTCAGGATATTTCAGTGAGATAGCACTATAATTCTGCTAGAATTTGTGTCTATGTCAGGATATTTCAGTGAGATAGCACTATAAGACTGCTTCTGTTTGTGCTATTACAAACGCACAAATGTCATTATTAAAGATCTGTGATTTAAAAAATAAGTCCATAACTGAACAAACACAACCATGAAGTTGATGTATTTAACGTGACAAAGCAGCTCTTCCAGGCCAAGACTAGATAACCAGTATTGAGAACATGAGAGCCAGATAATGTGTCTGGAACACAAGACATCAGATACCAACCTTTCCAGAAGATTGCATAAACATAAACATGATCAGCTGTTTAAAAAAAATAGTATTGATGTTAGTGATGAAAATAAAAAAATACTAAGAATATAAAAAATATTTCAAGTTGTATAATTATAAAAAAGATTACCCTTTCACCACTGTAGACCATAATGGACTTATCGAGATAAATGCATGGTAGAGTTTATTAAAGTTACATAGGGGTGAACGGGTTAACATAATAAATCATCAGACAGTGGCAGACCCAGAGACCTGACAGATAAAGACAGATTAGGAAAATAAACTTTCCTTAGGTACAAAAAAATACAGCAAGTGATACTACATGATCAGAAAAATTCTCTAGGAAATATATAGCAACAACTTCAAGTGGTAACAATCATAATTTTTTTCTGAGGCAACCCCATATTTCATAAGCTTATCGTTAAAGGGGTACAAATTTGGTTGTTTTATGTACATATTTTATAAAATTGACATGGGTTTTACTGCAATTTTCTGATGTTTTTCTTCAAATTTAGTTTTGCAGATTTTTAGTGGGTTGTGATGGATGAATATCGCCACAGAAAAATATATATCAAACCAATAACAAAAACAAATTTTCCTTAATTTTTCCCCCAAACTATTTTTTATGAATTTTTCAGAAAATTTGCTAATAGAAACTTCAAGTTTCTCAAAAAGCAAGTGTGAAACACCCTTTTTTCCTTTTGATATTTGAAATATACACCAAAGATGCAAAAATAAGGTACTGGTAAGTAAGTAAAAATAACATGTTTTTTCCAAAAGTATGACCCTACTTAAGATGTTGATGTGCTGAGTTAGGCGTGCACAAACGAGTCATAATAATTTAATATAGCTAGGGGGAGGATAGTGGAAGGGGCTTCATGATATTCAAACCCTTATCTCAATAATATAAAAAAAAAAGTGCACTTGGTGAAATGTTTTTCTTCGAGGCACTGAAAAGGAGTGTGGTAATTGATAGTCAATGATTTACATTGAATTCTTAAGATTAATGACTACCACTTCCTTTAATTTGGACATTATCGAAATCTGCAATTCCATATGAGTCGGTTCCTATGGCGACGAATCCATGAGCTGGCGTACTAGGCACAGTAATGTTAAATAGTGTCTGTTTGTTAAGCCTGCCTACAGCATTGCTTCCCTGTAACACAAACGATGTACCAATTAATTATTACATTGTAACACAATACATTCTTTTTGTCTAATGCTTTATGTTCAGTTGTACACTGTAATTCATCATTATAAAGTACTGCCTGATTAAGAACTCCAAAATCCATCAACAAAGATGACTGACGATCTTTGATGAAGAAAGTAAATTTTTACAGATTATAAGAAAAACATTTTCATTCCATTTTATTTCTAGCTGTAAATGGTAAAGGGTGGAATGGGTAAACGTCTTAACCGTCCCCCTGACTGCCTCCAGTATTAGAGATCAACTGGGCGAAATGTCTCTATGATTTTTGACAGCTGTCTTTACTGATTTGGCACACTGTGGCTTAGCGAGTTGTTTTCAGCGGTTCAGAGTCGAGACAATGGCCATTTGCCCTCTATGCTTGATAAAGGTCAAGACAATAGGGAAACAAACGTTTTCGAAAGCTTGCAAAGTAAGTTTTCACTTTCTGCCTGTGTTAAAAATAAACTTAGCATTTGGTATAGTGACGTAACAATTGTTAGAGTAATGTACCTCCAGTAGCAGAGCTAGACTGTTCCAGCCCTGTACAGCTCCAGTGGCCTCCCCTTCCTTCAGAGGCATGGTCCTGGCTGTAACATCAACATCACACTACATCAAATGTATTTCATGGCATAGGAATTAATACATCACAAAATACCTCGTATTTACAGATTAAAACAGAAATAAAATTGAACAACTACATTTTCATAATAGTATGGGGAAAACGCGCCGAGATGTCGAAACGTAAGTTGATCGGCGATTCTCTGGCATAGGAATTTGGCTAAACTTTCTTTGTTAACAGTTACCTATTTAATAATACTTTTCACAGAAACTAGGGTAACAAAACAGTATGTATCAATTGTATCTTTTATTGATGTTTGACATAAATAAATGTGTTTATCGGTGTTTGTCTTTGAGTTCCGTGTACCAAGGGAGATTATCTCGTGTCAAATATGGCAGTCTGCCAGAATCGTCGATCTTTTTATGAAAAAACCTACACCTATGTATTCTGCGCACCCCCCACTTTGGGCATTAAATTTCTCAAAATAAAGTGCGCCAATTACACAAGTTTTTATGGTAATGGCCTGTCCATGATCCTTAATGTTGTTTAAACATCATTGCACTGTGACCCTGATTAAGTTTTATCATTAATGATCTAATATATGCTATGGTTAAATTAATGACCCAATATCAAAAGCAGTTTTATGATATAATTGACGATTTGAGGTATACTGGCATTTAAGACATCACTGCAGGAACATTACATAGAAAGCTTGTGACAGAGGGCATGCATAGAACTTTTCTTCTCAGACTGTAATACATAGCATGGTTTATAGAAAATAACTGTTCACAGCTGACTGCTAAACCTTACCTAAATCATTGGTCAGTATAAACTTCTTTTCACTGGGGAACAGGAAGAAAAAGATGCCCTTGGCCTTCCACGACTGGCATCCACCCTGATCCACACGGGCCGCCACAAATACTCCTGTCGTACCGTTGACGGGACCGATGGCAATATCTGCACTCATGTAAACATCACTCCTGTTTAGGGCAAAACAAGGGAGATAACTATCAGAACTGTTGTTTACATAGTTTATGTATTATTATGTTATATATTATGGCTGACTGTTGGACTAGAACGATCAAGACCTAGTACAAATACATATTTCATTTTTGTAAATATTAAACACTTTAATTAAAATGAATCAGGCTGTACATAAAACGCTAAAATATTAACATTTGCATATTCCACAGGGGATAATGACACACCTCCACCGATCCGCTCCTATATTGAATTGAGTTTTTAAGGATATATATAAACTGTAACATGTATCTCCTTTTCCAAAAGAGTTCCGGGCTAGTACTTTTAATCTGAAATACCTGGAAATACAAACCTTTGTATATAAATTTTAGTAAATGTCATTATACGTTCTCCACAGAATTGGTCATTACAACATCAAATGTAATGTGTTACCCAGGTACATGTAAAAATAATAAAGGCTCTTCCTGATATGAATACGATGAGGGGAGATGGAATTTCTAATTGACGTCAGATTGATAATGAGATCTAAAATAATAGCTTAAGTTTACATAGTGGGCCTATAAAACAAATCAGGGTGGTGGGGGTCACAAAAGAAATGTCACTCTACCCCCTCAGTTCTAGTATAGCCCTTTATTCCAGGGCTATATATTATAACAATATTATAACAGACATATTTTTGTATACAATATAAGGTTTAGAGGTGTAGATGCATTACCAGGTAAAGCAGAAAGTGCATGCACACTGTACAAAGTTTATTGATCAACGTTTTAAGAGACCAAGGTGCATGTACATAACTTGTTGCAGTGTGAAATTTGACAAAGCTGATTAGTAACCATGGCAACCAGTACAGACAACAACATCGGGTAGAAATAGAAAGAGTGAGATCTCTGTATATTGTATTCACACAAATATCACGATAAATACTTATTCATAGGAATTCAGTAGATCATTTTGATATGTATTATGTATTGCATAAATGTAGAAGGCTGAAATTTCCTAAAACATATTACTGTTATAAATAGCTCAACATGCTAGTCTAGAGGCCAAGACTGGTGATATTTGTGGACAACACAAAAGACTCCATTCCGCAAATTCTCAGGTTTCAAAGAAAAAATGTTTAAAAAATGTTGCGTATTGAGTTAAGTGGTTTTTTTCAATAGCATATTCAAGTGCTAATGATCTAAAGTTGCAGGATCAGAGGTATCTATAGATTTTCAAATAGGTTACATTTTAACCAAAGGAAGTAATATGATATCTCAACCTGTATCTAAAAAGTGACTCTAGAAAAAGCAAATCATTTATATTTTCTGATTAAAAAGTAAACAATTTTATATTAATGTACGAGAAGAACCAATCATAAATCCATTTTTTTTCACAATAAAATTATTCAGACCCAATCTATTATCATCACATTTCTTGTAAATGATAGAATTACAATTTTATGATAACATAATCGCAAATAACTATGCAAAATTAAGCATTTAATAAAAATACAAAAGCCAAATACCTATTTTCTATTAGTAATCATTTGGTTGTTTACAGAACTATTGATAATGGAGTTCAGTAATTTACTTTGCTAGCTCACTGTATTCAGTTTACTAGGTTCTTGATGGATTCAGATAAAAAGGAGGATGTACAAGTGATAGACAAAAAGGCTATGACAGAATGGAGATGATCACAGGTTTAATGGTTTTTAATTGATAGATCTTTCATGCAATGACCAATGTTTTCTTTTGACAATTTAACCATTACGTTCTATGTAGTGAGTACAATGAAGCCACATTCAAAAATACCCCTACACACAAAGAAATCCAGAATACTAAACAAGGTTCTACTGTATATAGACTATATAAAGGGATTTTGGTTTTGTAGGATATGAAAGGATTTTTTTTTAGCAGGAAGCAACGTACCATGTTCTACCTATGAGGTTGATGGGTGTGATGAGAGGAAAGGGACACCAGAAGATCGGATGTTTCAGCACGACCTGTCGAAGGACCTGGCCGTGACTAGCGTCATTTGACCTTGTGACCTCGAACGAGCCAACCTGCTGCGCAAAGTTGAAAGGCTCGGAAAAATCAGGAAAAGCTGTGAAAATAACAGATCGCTGTCTTTTTGAAATACTTCTACAGTAATACAATATAAAATATGATAATAATATTTACAAATCTGATTCAGGACTGTAAAATAAAATATATTGGTGGATTAAGATATGGGATTGAGGTCATAGTGTTAACTCCTGTCACATCGACTAGCAAGCAGACTTTAGCAAGCTTGGGGGTTCTTTTAGGGGTGTATATGTAGGGATTAAAAGCAAATTTTTAACATTCGATCTTGCCAATATTTATGCAAATTGGTTTCATCCATTTTGTATGAAGCCCACTAGGGCTTTCTGTTAATGTGGATGTAACCAATTATTATGCAACAGAAAGTATTATCTGAGTGCCCAGTACTGTTTTCTGTTCTGAGGTAATTCACTCCATTATGAGTTCAAGCTATTGGTGTTTATTGTATAAGCAAAGCTGTTGATGGCACAGCTTTTGCCCAAGATCTAAGAGTTTTCCTGATCTAGACAGTCTTTAAATTGATTCAATGGATCATAGCAATGTTTTGAAACAGACTATATTAAGCTACCCTTTCATATCCTGTTTAAAATATAATATGTATCTGAAAGAAAAATAATACTTTTGTGCAGACTAAACTGAAGTATATCTTGATTTTGATTAGTTTAGATATCTGGCCAAAACGAAATGTTGTCCACAAATTTTGACCAATCAGAGCCTCAGGACTGGTTCTGACCATTTAGAGTTGCCGACGAGGTTAAGCGACTTGTTGACAGCATCGGCTTTACACCAGAACGTGGGAGTCTGTAGTACAGCTTGACGGAGAACGTTGCCATGGGGATGATCTCCTGATACGATCTCATAAGAACCGGTTTGTTGAGCAAAGTCCACAGGCTCGGAGTGTAAAGGGTAACCTGTTTAGTGGTACATATTCAAATATAACACCGGTCACAGCTGTTTGGAAGTAAAGCCTCAATGATCTAAACACTGATGACCGGAAAAACTCACCATCCAGACATGTTGATACTGTCATGTGTCAATTCCTGTTTCCTTAATCAAGAATATTTTATTATTTCAGAATATTTTCAAATAACAAGTGTCAAGGGTAAAGATCATTCCATTGTATTTAAAACAGTCTAATTATATTACTTACATTTCTGTATCATGCAGAAGAAAAATTATTTAATTAACTCATTCACCCCTAAAGACACATTTGAACCCTTCCCATCCAAAGGTTGGAATAGTTCATTAAGAAATATCAGGGGTGAATGAGTTAAGCAAACAAAAACACTTTGAACAATTGAGCAAAAACTTATGGATGTTGAAAATAAAATTATACAATAAATCAAAACAGTTTTAAACATTCACTACAATATAATGGAAAAGATATTTAAGTTAAAAAGAACTGAAGTTTTAAAATTAATTTGTGAACTTTTAATTGAGCTTTATTCCACACTTTCTCAAAAACATTCTCAAATTTTGAATGTCAGAAAAATGATCGATAAAAGTATCAATGTATTTTAACCCAATGATGATGGGTTGCTATGGCAACACCTACCTTCAAAATCCTCAGAGTAGGTGTTTGGGAATGGTTTTCGGGCAGGTGGGGCTGGATATGTGCCTTTAGTACCTCCGGGAAGGGAGGTCAAGGTGTATAGCTCATCAACCCCCACGGACAGTGTCACTCTCCCATCCTGTACCTGTCATACGAAAAACAAACACAAGGGAGAACGAGATTCAATTTCCACAAGAGGATGTTTTTCGGTTATATGTAAAGTTCAGAGCAACAGATGTCTCATTTCAGTGTTCCATTATTTAACTTTGGCTGCCTCACTTTAACAAGAACATTTATTATGTATCCTCATCCAGATCACAAGTACTCGGTAATCAGAGTGTCAATGAATTTGATAAACAATTTTTTATTTTTATAGGGAAAATATGAAGGTGTAAAATTACCAAATGTTACAGAATGTCTTCAGGAAGACCAGAAACTTAGCATGCCATTTCCTCTAAATGACAATAAAATGACATCAATTAAACTGATGACACAGGATTAAAAGTGAGTATACACTTGCTCACCTTTACTGGAGAGAGCTTTTTAAACAGCACAGATGTTTCATTCTTCCCAAAGGCAAGTTTACTGTACCACACATTCAGCTGCTGAAACTTTGCCTGAAAATTATTAGTCACACAGTCAAATTTTGTACAAGAAATCTTCTTTAATAATTAATTGTACCTGTTAAGGATAATATCATTTGTTTTATATTTAGAATACCTTAAGATGTTATCCAAATCCTCCCACACATAAGTTTCAAGACAACAAGCATCAGGGCAAATTGGACAACTACCAATTAAATGAATTCATTTCAAGTACTATGAGAGAAAGTTGAAATTATCTGGGAGTGGAAATGCTTGCATTTTTCGTGTAAAGTAATAAATTAGCACGCAAAAGTATCTGTATGCAATATAGATATCAGAACAATATTGCCTAAGCAAAGAATTCCACACCACCATCTATTTGAAGAGTCACAAAGCAAACATATTGACAATGAGTATTTCCACTTTTACAGTACTAGTATATCATCTTCAGCTAGACTGACAGCAGTAATAACCTCAAAATATACCTACCTAGTCAAAATAACAATGGGTGCAGAAGACTTTTTTAAACAGCTGTAATAACACTTACCCTTCATATTATATGACTGGATAAATATTTGACCCCTCATCTTACATGATTGGTTTATCCCCCGACCCTTCATCCTGACGGATTAGTTTAACCTTTGACCTCTCATTCTATTTGAATGGCTAATCTGCTGACCCTTCATCTGATCATCTATCCGTATGCATATGATTGGTTTATCTTTTGACCCTTCATCCTATCTGAAAGGCTAATCCGCTGACCCTTCATCATCTATATATGCTTGGTTTAACCTTTGACCCCTCAACACAGTGTAACAGCAGAGTGGTATCCATGAGGACCCACACAACTTACCAGGACACCCCTGAGCTGCAGCGTAACATTCTGTGCTATGACGTTGTAAGCAGGAAGTGCCGGTCGGATACACAAGGAGTGGTCATGGCTCTGTCAAACATCAAAGGGAGATAACACATTATCCTATATAGCTGGGTAATATAGCTGGGTACTACCATTTAAGGATCCTTGTACCACTGTCAAACCTGTAACTACACACATATGAATCTGTTAGTTCTGGCATGATTATACCTTTGATAAATTATATCTGAAAATAAAACCATACCTTTTCGGACTTTTTTAAACTTTATAAAACACAACAAAGAACAAGAGGCCCATGGGCCTTAACGGTCACCTGATATATTTATACAGAGAGTTGATTTTGTTTTTAACATGAACAGAAATATTATTCAAAGTGACAAAAAACAATAAAACCACCTTACTCAATATCTAGCATACAGATTTCAGACTAAAAAGGATTTGAAACTAGCACCTCTGATTCTTAACAAGGAAAATGAAGAAATTTTAGCACACTGACTCCTTTGAGCCCCACCCTACAGCCCTTGGGGGTAGGGCTGGCTCAAAATTTTCAAAGTATCAAACTGTCAATTCAAGGTTATAATTCCAATCAAGTTATTA